ATAAAATATGAAGCAGACGATTAAATAAATCCGTTAGGCCTATCAGTGAAATAGGAGATGCGATTTAGTAGACATAACGAAAGAACAAAATAACGTACACATACGCTCCAGGCGGAAAGTAAATGAGGCCAAGGAACAGACAGGAAGTAACAAGATTATGGGGAAAGTTGCCTAATGATGACCTTCATAATTTGTACCCTTCACCAAATATTACGGTAACCAAATTAAAGAGTATGAGATATGCAGGATATGAACCACACATTTCTTTTCTTCTTCTTCTTCTATCTGTGGCTCTACAACCCTGTGAGGCTATTGGTCGCCTCATTTCGGCATTTATGAGTAGTGAGTGACCAGCCCACTGCCTCTGCACAATTTCTACTCAATCCTGATTTGTCTGCTAAAGCCATCTAGCAGAGAATCAGGAAATACATGGATGAGAAATGACCGCTGAATTTTGCTTACGAAACACCTCGTTCATGCTCGTAAGAACCACACATGTAGGAGATAAAAATTTCGCTATACAAAATTGTTATCGGGAATGTTAAAATGCGTCAATTATTATATTAATGCGAAACTGGGAGGATAATATTAAAAAGAATCTTAAGAGAAACAGGAGATGATGGCGTGGAATGGATTGAACTGACTCAATATAGAATCCTGTGAACACGGTAATAAACCATGGGGTTACATAAAATTGCGAGATTTCTTTACGAGCCCAACAGCTATCATCAGCTTCTCAAGAACTCTGTTCAGTCAGGAATACACGGAAAAATAAGCTTTACTCCTGAATCTCTGGATGGAACTCTGGGAACTTTAAAATTATCATGCAAGTTGAAGACTTGACTAAAATGTTAATGAAAACATGGGTAATCATGGTCTAATGCAGCATATAATGACAATTAGTTGCTGCAGAACGGTGCACTGTGGCTTTTGGCCTACTCACGCAGTGGCTCAACACAATGAGCGAGGTCACCGAGGGAAAATGAAGCCAGGGACAGTCGAAGTGGAAAATGTTCGTACTTCCTATTAACCATTGTTGATATCATTTTGTACTTTTGAATGAAATTAATTTTGAAATCTGTCCTACTGGAAAATTCCAAATGAAAATCACGAACGGAAATGTGACGGCCGCTGCAGATTCTGGTTACAAGTTACAGAACCATGTGGATCAGGTCTCAGCTTACAATTTACTAGAAGTTATTAGCGAGTGATTATCAGATTGTTTCAACTGCAGTAGCACAGTACACAGACCAATTCCTTGGTTAATAAATTGTGCGCCACATAAAATCCTAAGATTTATAATCGTATGCACAATAACCCGCCACCGGACCCTAACCTGAGCTACATAAATTCAGTCGACTCATGTCCTGTTCCTTTAAGATTAATTTTAATATCATCCCGCATACGCCTATGTCTACCAAGTATCTTTCCGACAAACACTTTGCATTCCTCATCTCCCACACCTCGTCTTCCTCGACTAGAAGAACCTAATAATGTCTGAAGAGTAGTCTACAAACTGCACGACACAGAACATCAAAACGTCATACAACAAAGGTCATGCCAATAATGTGAAAGAAAATGACCGACAAATTCTGAGTTACGGCGGTGATTATCTCAAAAAGAGAGACAAGGGTAGCTTCGTAATATTTGAAATATTGGGTGAAAAAAAGAGAGAGAAAGCTGGAAATGTATTAGCCGAACACAAACGAAAATAGAATGAGAAAGTAAATTGATCACAATGACAGCTTCCAAAATATCAAAAAGCAAACTTGACCTTTCACCGCCAACAGCATGGAGGGACGAGGAATGACCTCGGTAAAATTGGGAACAGGAACAAATGTAATGGTTTCTCCTTTAAGCGGATCTTAGTTTAACAGTCACCTTTATATTCGACACTAACTAACCAGCTAACTAACTCTATGCAGTAGGGCTCTTCTTGAGAAGCTGACAGTTGCTCAGCTAGCCAAGAAAAGATCCAGGAACGTAGAAAGTAGTCCTACTTTCCAGACGTATTCTTTGCGACTTCATTATGTCCCACGTTGGTTCATCTCCATTCAATGCAAATACAAACTGCGTCTTATAGTTTCAAAGATGACCACTAACATTACCGCACCTAACTACACATTATTTCTTGTACTACCTTAAATATTCACCATAACAAACACAATTTTTAAATACAAGTTCTAACTACTCATTTTCATTTTAACCTTGATTAAATTAAACTCTCTCAACAACCCGAACAATTGAAGATAAGCATGCGGTAGGAGAGACGGGCACGGTACCCATTTACATGCATTCCCTTTGAGAAAAAACAAAAACAAAAAAGCGTATTAGTATTTTACAATGATCAAAGATGTGTAGTAGCTCACAGTTTTGACGACGAATTACAAGCCTGTTCAATACTGACACTTACCGATCCTCACGTTTATTTGACGACGTTTTTTCAACTGCGGATGTTGGAATGCCTCAGTCATGACAACCAGTAACCTATCACTCTCACGTGTACAAAACTGAGTAGAGCGAAGCGATATCAATAAACGCATCTGCTCCCTGTTAGCCGTTGTAGGTACTAATAACAGACCAGCGTTCGTTCAAGCTATGACAAACATGGACATACTGCATTAGATACAAGTTAACAGGTAGGCAACTTAATTCATTGCGAAAGGAGTGAAGACAGACGAATCAATGTATATGTGAATAACATAGTTTCAGAGAAGGTACAACTTTCCTTTTGAAAGATTTGGTTTAAGGTTACAAACGTGAGAGACCTAGGTGCACAAGTTAATTTAAATAGGATGCGGCCTGGATTGAACTAGTGCCCGATAGGATTGTGGCGGGCTGTTGTGAACGCGTAATTAATTTCAGCGTTCCATAAAGGGCAGGATTTATAACCAGCTGAGAGAACCTAAGTTTTTCTGTGTGTCTGCTTCCGAGTTAGTTACTTTCTGGGTTGGCTACATACATCAGGCTGATATACTGGACAAACATCAATTCTTATATTGCAGGACACTTATGTAAAATGGATGGCAATGGACTGGATGACCTGGGTTTGATTCCTACAAGAAACTGAGGGTGCATGTCAACACTACATACCACCTCTAGAGGCCCATCAGTCTACAACTAATGTGTTCAGGGGGCCAGAGCATAAAGCTACCATTCACAACCAAGATCAAGAATGCATGAAGCTTCAACCTATTCACCCATCCTTCCCATGTCTTCATGGTATAAAATTTCAACATACAGATAAATTTAATTCAAATGAACATGTTATAGTTATATGCAATCATCCTATTATGGAAATGATTAACCTGGTCTACCTGCACCAAACAAATTATAGATCGCTCATTTTTGTAGTTTATTACAAAGTCAACCGATACAATGCAAGCAACACATTTCTGCTTTTTGATACTGAAACTTGTAAAGGCAGTCACTATTTGATGTTGTCTTATACATAAAAAACATTCATTGCAATAAATGTAAGAATATGATATGGGCCCAATAAGATTGTTTCTGTAGCAGGTTCTAAAGAAGGAACCTGGACAGAACTTATGACCTCATGACAAATAAGACTGTTACGAGGTGCGATCGGAAAGTTTCAAGACTGCGCCTATAAAAACCCGTACACTTATCTCAGGTATTAAATTCATTCATCACCCTCGAAGTAGTTCCCCTGGGAGTGAACACAACGATCCCAGCGCCGCTGCCAAGCCTGGAAGCATCCCTGGAAATCTTTCTTTGTCAGCCTGTCAAGCACCATCTGCGATTCTGCCTGAATCTCTTCTATCGTCTCAAATCTCATTCCCTTTAGCTGAATTTTCATCTTTGGGAAGAGGAAACCTTAGAAAGGAAGTTGGGGTCGGTTCTTGCAAGATCTTGGAGCTCCTGACAAACGAGAAGTCGATTCTGCTTCTGGTCCTCAGACAGGAGCCTTGGCACAAACTTGGCTGCGATGCGTCGCATGTGGAGTTCTTCCTTTAGAATCAGCTAACAGGTCCCATAGCCTATCCCAACAATGTCGCACAAATCGTTGATGGTACGACGTCGATCTTCGTGAAGGGCCTGCCGAATCTTCGTAACATTTTCGGGCGTTGTGCTCGAAGATGGTCGTCCAGAACGCTCGTCATCATCGACAGAGGTTCGGCCATTTTTAAAACGTGAATGCCACACAAAAGTTGGTGCACGACCCATTGCGGACTCCCCAAATGCTTGCTTGAGCATTTAATAGGTTTCCGTAGCCGTTTTGGCGAGTCTTTGGCAAAATTTGATGCACACGCCATTCCGAAATCGCAGGAGGGTCGGTGTAATGCACTACCAAAACGCCCGTAACTAAGAAACAAATGCTAATTCGATGATGCCGGCTGGCACACTGATTCACTATGAATGTAGGCCGCACCCCCTAGCAGCAGAAGCTCGTACTACATCCAGGGTCGGTGTAATGCACTACCAAAACGCCCGTAACTAAGAAACAAATGCTAATTCGATGATGCCGGCTGGCACACTGATTCACTATGAATGTAGGCCGCACCCCCTAGCGGCAGAAGCTCGTACTACATCAGGTTCGCCCTCTATTGACACAGTCTTGAAACTTTCCGACCGCACCTCGTATTTCTATGTAATCCACAACATGAGTTTTGATAAGCTGTCAGCATGAAGTGTTGTATACTACACTATCCATTACTATGCAGTTATGTGTAATGCATGCAGATGACAATGGTTGATTTGTCCTGCCATCCTAAAAATTGCCCTTTAACTATTTCTCAATTTTAAATGGTGGCAAAAGTAAAGCTGTAGTAGGTCTGGGATTTAAATACTCCATGCAGAAAGTGTTATATTCCTGTAGCTAATGATTATATAGGTAGCCAAAGACTTATTAATGAAGAATGAGCAGATTGTAAATAAAAAGCTACAGATAAAGATGACTTCTTAATGTAGGAGACATTCTCCAGCGTCACAACAGTATAGAAGGGTCCAGCAAAAATGCTTTTTGAAAAGTAGCAAGCTTGATAGTATATGTAAATATTTTTAATCTCTGAATATATACATAAGCTTTACAGGGCCACAGAATTTTCATATTTTCACAAGTAGCCACCTGACTAGATGTAGAACATAGCCTTATACACTACCTGATCAAAAGTATCCGGACACCTACGCGAAACTGTCCTCTAAGTGTCCCTCGGATTTACTGCCCAGTAGTGGACATTAATACGGGGTGAGTCCACCCTTGGCATTTATTACAGCTCTAACTCTGCGGGGGAGACTGTCTACCAGGTGTTGGAATGTCGCCGGGGGAATGGCTGACCATTCTTCCTGCAACGCTGTAGCAAGCGTAGTTAGTGATGTGGGTCGTTGGGGTCTGGCGCGCAGTCGCCTTTCTAGTTCGTCCCAGAGGTGTTCAATAGGATTGAGATCGGGGCTCTGGGCTGGCCAGTCCATTCCGGAACCTTATTGTCCGCAAACCACTCACGAACAGACCTCGCTTTATGGCAGGGAGCATTGTCATGCTGAAACACACAGTTATCATCTCTGAACTGGTCTTCTATCGTAGACAACACGCAACTGGTCAAAATGTCCTTATATCCTTCCGCCTTTAACGTGCTCCGTAGTATTACGAGAGGACCAAGTCCCTTCCATGAAAAACACCCCCACACTGTCACCCCACCTCCGCCGAATTTCACTGTGGGCACTATACAGGCCGGAATGTAGCATTCACCTAGCATTCGCCACACCCAAACCCTCCCATCGGACTGCCACATGGTATAGCGTGATTCATCACTCCAAATCACGCGTCTCCAGTTGTCCACAGCCCAGTGGCGGCACTCTTTACACCACTGAAAGCGGCGCTTAGCGTTCACAGGCGAAATGTGCGGTTTATGGGCAGGTGCCTGGGCTTTGAACCCCAGTCCTCGTAACTCCCGGCGCACAGTCATGGTGCTAGGGCACAATTAGTGGCACTGCGGAATTCATGGGTGATGGTATCACACGATGACATACGATTTTCCCATACCACCTTCTTCAATACTCAACGGTCCCTGTCAGTCAACACACGTGGTCTACCCGGCCGTGATTTTGTTGTGGTTGTGTCTTCCCGTTTCCACTTCACAATCACGTCCCCGACAGTCGACTTGGGCAACTTGAGAAGGGCGGAAATGGCCCTGACGGATTGCTTACTGACGTGGCAACCAATAACCATACCACGTTCGAAGTCACTGAACTCCCTTGCTCCACCCATTCTGTCGGTATCGCGTAGCACTAAACATCGAGCCCTCTGCCTCCTTTTATAGCAGCAGCGGCGGTAGTAGTGATATCTAGGCTCGAGTTTACGTTTACAGAGGGGTGTCCGGATACTTTTGACCAGGCAGTGTATATTATAAAATATTGAAAATTGATGTTTATGTTAGATAAATTTTAAACGGACAGATCGTACATTACTGTTTATACAAATTAATACAAGTATATTTATCACTACAAATGTATTTGGAGTACCAAGTTACTGAATTTGCCATCATAAATCTGCTCTAACCTAAAAGTCACATATACTACAATATAAGATACATTTTATACATAACTTTGAATACAGTATTCACTGTACTGAGTCCTGTCCACTATCAAAATTTTAAACCTTCTGGAAAGTCACTTCAATTCCATACTACATATTCATGAAGAAATCATAACAGTTTTCTACATACAAATCAACATTTCAATAAAGCTGCTTAACTTTGTAACAACGCCATAAGACACTGCATCAAGAGTTTAAAACTCAAATATTCTTTTTAGACCTCTGTCCATTTATAACATCTAATTTATGAATTTGTATTTATTTATGTAATAGTACTGCAGATAATCGACAAACCACCTCATTATTAAGTTAATATTTTGTTAGAATTAGTAAAGTACATTATCCTTTGTGGTCTATGCTAAAAAACAATGAACATTGCAATCCACAGTGATCATTAGTTCACTGAAGTTGTGATGATGTGAATTAACCATCAAAATTATGATTACTTTTTCAGGGCGGGGAAGGGAGAAAAAAATTATATCCTGCGACGTTATTCATTCTTGCCTATTAAGATTTACAAAATTGTGATACTTCTAGCAACTTAAAACTTCCATTTTAGCTACTGGTCACACGAACACAGCCTCTGCTATGGTTTACAAGATGTTATGTTTGGTCATAAGCACTAGCTTAGTCACGCACTTTTAAATATGCATCAACAAACATTTCTAGCTCCTTTGCTATGTAGTTAGCTTTGTTCCGCAGAACTTTGGCTGAATTAGCTGCCTCTTCCAACTGCCTTACTTCTTTCTCCAATGTTTTGATCTCTACATCCATGTGATTGGTGGCTTCATCAACAAGTTGACACAACCGTGCGAAAGTGCTTGACAACTCCCTGTACAAAGTAAAGTTGGTTACTGCAACCGAGTCAGTGTTTCCAATGATGATTAGGTATTATTGTTAAACTGCAATACTCCAAAGTTATTCACCTTAACATTTGGATTATGACATTTGATTTCCAGTGGTATTAAAGGTACTGCCAGATTTAAATTGAAATTAATTACGTTGAAATACAATGGATCAAAAAATAAATTGCACTTATTACATTTTTAAATTAGAAACTTCAAACAGAGACTAGAACTTTAGAAATGAATCCCTTTATCAAGATGAAGTTTTGAAACAACATACCTTCATAATAAGCAGATTCATTTATGTTTGCATATAATTATTGTGAACACTTAATAAATTTCAATGATTTTTCATTTGAAATATTCATTGCTCAGAAAAATAAGACACAAACTTTACAAATGATCTGTACATAGCAAGGTGTTGCTATGATGTTATCAGATCTTGCCTGTTGTGTCCAACTATGCTGTAAATGAAAAGATTATAAAGATATCCGTCCTCTGGGTTATTGCGCTGTGTAGTCTGGTCGATGTTAACCAACGTTTCAGAGGTCATACTGCCTCCGTCATCAGGGCGATGAATATGCCAATAGGGTGTGAGGAG